TCTTCTTCTCCTCATGCATGTTGTTCTCTATTGTGTGTTTTTCCTTGTGTTTGTTTCCATTTGAAAACCTTGCAGGTTGTTGTTGTCATGAAAGGTTGTGTCGATTTCCATTTGAAATCGATTTGAGTTGAAAAAAACCACAGCTGATTTTCCAGTTTTGTGTGTGGTTCCGGAGGATACGCACCCGTAATCTGAAGTGAACAGTTAGTGGTAAGTTAAATTTTGCTGGATTAAGTCGTAATAAGTTTGCAGTTGTGGTCGGATTGTATTTAATTCGATAGTCATCTACTGTTGGTTTGACGAATGACAACAATTGTCTAATAATTAAATGTGTTAAGTTATATTTTGGCGTATTATAGCCTTGTTTAGGTTTTGTTACTACTTGTAACCTTCATGCAGTGTATGATTGTTAGTATTGAATGTTCATAAATTTAAGTTTGAAAAGAAAAACCGAGTTGAACTAAATAGTTTGTGTTGCATTGAATTTGGACTATTATTCACTGTGTTTGGGATAATGTGTATTTTGGTGAAATATATGAATGAAATGTGTGACAATTTTTAGTTTGAAAAAGTATGTTGATTTATATGAATTTTATTTTATTTTTTGTTGTAGTTTTTCGAGTAATAAATTTGTTATATTTTATAGTTGTAAAATATGTGATCAGATATGGATAATTTAATTTATATAATATAAGTGTTAGTTAAACAAATATGTTACGTGAATAATGTTTAATTTTTTTCCATTAGTTGATTAAGTAATCTTGTAATGCAGATGTCTAACCTTAATTACGAAGGGGTTGTTAATTTAGATGATGAGAAGGAAATGAATGTTTCTAATAACAATGCATCAGATGAAGAAAGTAGTGGAAGTGATGTCCGTTTTGGTAATGAGGAAGATGATGCCCATATTGATAGTAATCATAATGAATACAAAAGTTTTATGGATTTGACTGTAGACGACATATTGGGTTTGGAATTTGGTAGTGAACATGATGCATATAAATTTTACTTTGCATATGGTAAATTTCATGGTTTTGGGATTAGGAAGGATGACATTGGTCATGATGCAAATGGCAAAATAGTAATGCGTCAATTTTTATGCAATAAAGGGGGCTTAAGAGACAAAAAACATCTTATGAGAGATGATAGAAAAAAGGGGCATAGGCCTCTTAGTCGTACTAATTGTAAAGCCAAACTTCGTGTACGGCTTGATCCAAAGACAAGTAAATGGAAAGTTGTGTCATTTGAGGAAGGTCACAACCATGACTACAAGAAAAATGTAAATTTTCGACGGAACATTTCCGACGGATATGGATCCGTCAAAAATTTCCGATGGATTTATATTTCCGTCAGAAATTTCTGACGGAATTTTCCGTTAGAAATTTTCTGTCAGAAATTTCTGACAGAAATATAAATCTGTCAGAAATTTCTGACGAAAAATTCTGTCAGAAATTTCCGACGGAAAAATAAATCCGTAAAAAATTTCTGCCGGAAAATTTCCGACAGAATTATCCGATCAGAAATTTTCGACGAAATTTTCCGTCGGAAATTTCTGACGAAATTTTCCATCGGAAATCTTATTTTTAATTTATATTTTTAAGAGTGAGCTGCAGGAGCTTGCTGCCTCATCCTGAGGTCGAGTGCGCTATCTGGAAAACGAGGTGACGTCTTCCCGAGGTCATGTGCGCTCGTTGGAGGACGAGGTGGCGACGGTGAAGGGTGAGTTGGTGGTGGCGGCTGAGAAGCGTCTCTGCGACGAGGTTCTTCTCGGTGGAAAAGAGGAGGAGGTTGCCTCTTTGAGAGTGGACCTCGCGAAACTGGAGGTGGAGAGGGCAGCCTTGAAGAACAAGCTTCAGGAAACCGAATGATCTCTTGTTGTTGAGCATAAGAGGGGTTTCCTCAAGGCAGCCCGCCAGGCCAGGCTCCTCGCGCCAGGGTTTGACTTCGCCGCCATGCATGTGGAGAAAGTCGTCCGCTTCGGGAAGCTTGTAAAGGAAGACGACGTCGAGGACAGTTCCAGCGAGAATGCCTCTGCGTAGGCCATTTTTGTCATAGCCTATTTTAACTCTTTCTGCTTTGTTTTTTTGTTTCTTGAATTCATGTATTGAACTCGTGAAATTGTTGTATATATATTGTTTTTTCAAGATTTAGATGGTTTTTTCTGCTTTTGGACTTGTGTGTTTCGCGCTTTTGTGGGGTTCAAACTTGGCCTGATGTGAATGTTTGCGTATTTTGAGACACACGTTCGATGTCAGTTGTGTACTTCTATACTTTGTGGTACTCATCTGCGAGTTGACCATGCTGGGGTTTGGGTTCATCCTCAGTGTTTCATTAAGTAATTTTCGTGAAGGTTCGTACTCGACCTCGAGTTGGTCATACCGAGGTTCGTACTGGACCTCGGTATTTCATTAAGTAACTTTCGTGAAGGTTCGTACTCAACCTCGAGTTAGTCATGCCAAGGTTCGTACTCGACCTCGGTTTTTCATTAAGTAACTTTCGTGAAGGTTTGTACTCGACCTGGAGTTGATCATGCCGAGGTTCGTACTCGACCTCGATTTTTCATTAAGTAAATTTCGTGAAGGTTCGTACTCGACCATGAGTTGATCATGCCGAGGTTCGTACTCGACCTCGATTTTTCATTAAGTAACTTTCGTGAAGGTTCGTACTCGACCTTGAGTTGATCATGCCGAGGCTCGTACTTGACCTCGGTTTTTCATCAAGTAACTTTTGTGAAGGTTCGTACTCGACCTTGAGTTGATCATGCCGAGGTTCGTACTTGTCGCCACCCGCCGAAACGGACATTGGCATTCGCGACGATGGTCGGACTCTTTTTAAGTTTTGAAAAGTGATGGATTGTTAGAACGACTTATTCTCAAACTGAGACCTCATCGAACTAACAATTTTATTAAATGATTCACCAATCCATGTTAATCCCAAGCGGGACCCTCCATGGATTAGTGGTTTTCTCACCAGTTGTTAAGCCTGTGACCATCCGTTTCATTCTCACCCTAGCCCTCACCCATCATTGGTCAATTCAACAGTTGGATGTCAACAATGCTTTCCTAAATGAAAATCTTGAAGAAGAGGTATATATGTCTCAACCTCCAGGTTTTGAATCATCGGATAAAACACTGGTCTACAAACTTCATAAGGCAATTTATGGTCTTAAACAAGCACCACATGCCTGGTTTGATAAACTTAAAGCTACATTGTTTCAACTCAACTTTCAGATCAGCAAGTGTGACCCTTCCCTATTTGTTTATTCCCATGGCAATACTGTAATCTACATTCTTGTCTATGTAGATGACATTATTATCACTGGAAATAATTCTTCTGTCCTACAGAGTATTATTTCCCAACTCAACTCAGCCTTCTCCCTCAAGGATCTTGGCCGCTTAGACTATTTTCTTGGCATTGAGGTTAAATCTAACTTTGATGGCTCCCTTACCCTAACCCAAAGCAAATATATTCGTGATCTCCTCAATCGCACCAACATGGAAAACTCTAATTCTATCTCTTCACCCATGGTCAGTGGGTGAAAATGATCTAAAACAGGTTCGGAAAAATTCCTAGATGTGTCCTTGTACAGATCTGTGGTTGGTGCCTTACAATATGCCACAATCACTCGACCTAAAATTAGCTTCTCGGTCAACAAAGTCTGTCAGTTCATGTCCAATCCACTGGAACAACACTGGTCTGCTATCAAACGCATTCTTCGATACTTACAAGGCACTATGTTCTTGGGATTACATCTGCACCCAACTCCATATGACTCTCCTTTGTCTATTCATGCCTATTGTGATGCTGATTGGGCTTCTGATCCTGATGACCAAAAATCTACATCTAGTGCCGCCATATTCGTTGGACCCAATCTCATCTCTTGGTGGTCCAAGAAGCAAACAGTTGTTGCTCGCTCCAGCACTGAAATCGAATACAGAAGTCTTGCTCTTGCCACTGCTGAAGTTATGTGGATTCAAACCTTACTCTCTGAATTACATGTTTCTCATCATTCTCCTGTCGTTTATTGTGACAACATGAGCACCGTTGCACTAGCCCATAATCCTGTTCTTCATGCTAGGACCAAGCATATAGAGCTGGATCTCTTCTTTGTTCGTGAAAAAGTTGCTGCCAATCTCCTTCACGTGGTTCATGTTCCAGCCATTGACCAATATGCTGACATTCTTACCAAAGCTTTGTCTCCATCTTGGTTTTGTGAACTTCGGACCAAGCTCAAGTTGGTTGACTCTTCGCCTCACCCCACTTGATCTTGCGGGGGGAAGCCAAGCTTAGGAAGGATCAAGGAGCCGAAGATCTAGGGAGGAACTTGAAGAGGATTCACATCAATCCGGATTCTCCAAGCAAGTTTCCATCACTAGCAATCCATTTTTGTGTTAATCTCAACCCCAGAACGGGCCGTTTGAACAACATCGTATACATGAAGTTGTGTTTGATATTGAAGAATGTAAATTTTTTTGTGATTGTATGTTATTTGAATCTTGTGGAATTCCTTGTGGCCATATTATATGCTCAATGCGGCTAGATTATATGACCTTGTTTCCTTCAACATTAATATGCAAGCGTTGGATGAAGGATGCGAAGAGTTCAATTATTTCGTCATATGATGCAAGGAATAATGATAGTGAGATGAGTAATGTGGCACGTGTTAGTGTTTTGGCTTCATCTTGTAATAGACTTTGTGTAATGGCAGCCAAAAAACATGAAACTTTTAATTTCATCAGGGAAGAGATTTTGAAGTTACTTGGAAAAATAGAAAAGAATAGTGTTATTGGATTGGATAATGAAACATGTGATCCTAATGTTGTGAAGACTAAAGGAGCCCCACAGAAAAAGAAGTTGACCAAGAGAAGGAAATGCTCAAATTGTCATAAATGTGGGCATATAAAATCTAAATGTCCTTTGCTTGATTGTATAAAAGATAATTTGATGAGTGTTGAGGAATGGTTTGATTCAGGGGATGATGGGGTGCAACAGAATGTAATTTTTATAATTCAATATTTGCGTAAATTATTTGTAGTTGAATAATTTTTTTATATAATTATTTTTAATACATGTTAATTGCAGGTGCAAGAAGACATTCGTCGTAATGAGTTTGACATGAATGATAGTACAGATGCAGAACAAAGTTCCCAAAATTATGTAATAAGAAACATGATGTGTCTATGGGTTTGGTTTAAGTTTTAGTTGATATTTTTTGAAGTAGAGATTTTGACTTTATTTTAATTAAATGATTTACAGATACGTAGAAGACAAATTAGACTTGGGGGAGGTGATAAGGGTCAGCAACAAAGATCCTGAAAAATGGAGATGGTAAAGGATATTGTCCCGATGGTTGTGTCTGTTACAATTATTAAATAGAATAAATTAAATTTTGGTATCAACATTATTGTTATTTATGATTTTATTTATTTTGTTTATTTTTTAAATGTGATGAGACAGGGAATTGGCGTTGGGAAGTGGCTGGTAAAGTGTGCAATGGATGAAAAGTAAAAAAAAATTAAGTACTATGTTAGGGTTATTCTTTTTAGAGTAAGTTTTATTTGTTTGTGTTGGGGAAAAATATCATGAATACAAAAAAAAAATTTGAATGACATTTGTGATTGAAGGAAAAGGCAAGTGGGAATATTGGTACAACTTCTATGGATGATTTTAATGAAGTTGGAGTAACGGCAACTTTATTTTGTTTATTTTTGAAATGTGATGAGACAGGGAATTGGCGTTGGGAAGTGGCTGGTAAAGTGTGCAATGGATCAAAAGTAAAAAAAAAGTAAGTACTATGTTAGCGTTATTTTTTTTAAAGTAAGTTTTATTTGTTTGTGTTGGGGAAAAATATAATGAATACAAAAAAAAATAATTTGAATGACATTTGTGATTGAAGGAAAAGGCAAGTGGGAATATTGGTACAACTTCTATCGATGGTTTTAATGAAGTTCGAGTAACGGCATCTGGTCTTCCTTTCAGTTCTAGTCATGTAGGTGGTACGCATGGTTTGGTTTTACGTGTGATGCATAGGGATTGTGGTCCTAGTCATATGGGTGAAGGTCCCTAGTTAGATTTGAAAATATGTTGTACTCAAATTATGTGTGTGGAAGATTGTTTAGTTGTATGAAATTAACATTATTTTAGTAAATATTATGAAATATTTTATTAGAAACATTCATGTGAATGTGAACAGTTCTATGAATTACAAACACTGATTAATTGTTAATATTATTAGCAAAATTACTTTGTTAACTAAAAATATAAGTAAATGACATATTTAATGTCTAAAACTTATTTATGTAATTTTATAGTTTAAATGTTGAAGCGAATAAGACGATGACTAGGGCTAAATTTAAAGTAAGTTACAAGTGGATAGAATAAAAAAAAAAATAATTGTTAACATAATTCTTATACTTTTATAGTAGATGCATAATTTTGAAGATAAAGATTTTTGTAACATTAGAAAATTATAATAAGACTGAAAATGTTATTGGAATGTCAAGTTATTAAATTACACAAAAATGATAAATTTAAATGTTTTAACTATATTTGTATGATAACAATGTATAGAAAATATAAATGGTTTATAATTTTGTTAGACAAAAAATATATATATAACATGATAATAAATAACGTAACCGTGAAAGTAAATTAATGTAAATTTAGTATAGGTTAAAATATAAATGACAAAGGAAATACGAATAAAAATGGTATTTTATAATAACAAATTTTAGTGAAAAAAATTGTATTTTAAAATAAGTAATATAAAATATAAATGAAGATAATAAATACGGTACTTTGGGAAAAAGAATTTTATTATATTGTCCTTAAAAAAAATATTTCACAGTATAATAAAAAAAATTAATTTATTTGTTAATAATGAGCCATGTTTACTTAAAAAGTTAGGGTTTCAATACCTTACGAAGTTAAAAAATATTTAACAAAAACATTGATGATAAATAAAAGTTGGGAACTGCCATGGTACCCACGATAATTGAAGGATTTTGGTACCTCAAATTATGTGAACAAATAAATTTAAAAGAAATAAATTCAAAATAACATAAATTTTGGATTAAAAATTTATACAAGATGAATCAATCAAAAAGATTAATTCAAAAAAAATAATAAAAGGTCATTTTTTATAACAAATTAAATTTAAAAGTAATACAATTAAAAAATTAAAATAAATACTATAATAATATTTTAAAAATATTAAAATAAGAAAGACAAATAATAAATAATACAATTGAAAAATTAATTTATACCATAAATTCAAAAAAATTTTAATTTATAAATTTCATTGGGAAAAAGAATTTTATGATATTTTCTGTAAAAATAAAAAAAAGATTTGACAGTATAATAAAAAAAATTAAATTATTTGTTAATAATGAGCCATGTTTACTTAAAAAGTTAGGGTTTCAATAGCTTATGAAGTTAAAAAATATTTAACAAAAACATTGATAGTAAATAAAAGTTTACGGTTTAGGTAAACATAAGGCGTAAAATGAATAGGTAAAAGTATAAAATATGAAGAGGAATTTTGTACGTGAAATATTTATGTGGTCTATTGTGTTAAACCCTAAAGTATAAAATTAATATAAAAAATATTCAATTCAGATAATATAAGATATAGTCCAATATGAAATTGTACGACATTTGACCTAGCTATGGAGTACATGGTAATCCACAAATCATAAAAACATACATATAGATAAGATAATGACACATACTTGAATCGCATGCATTGCGTTGATTGAGCCTGCAAGCCAATATCACATTCTACAACATACTACCAAGGTATGGAGTACATGGTAATCCACAAATCATAAAAGCATACATACAGATAAGATAATGACACATACTTGAATCGCATGCATTGCGTTGATTGAGCCTGCAAGCCAATATCACATTCTACAACATACTACCTAGGTATGGATTACATGGTAATCCAGTAAACATAAAATCATATGCATACAAATAACATAATGGCATCATATAGATGAACAGATAGGCAAAAAAAACCAAATTATATAAATTTCATGCATATATTAACAAACCAGTGATTGTTCAAAAAAAAATACAAACAAGAACATTAACAAGTTCGATAAATTACAGAAATGGAAGGGACGCAGATCAAGCCCGAGTCACAGATACCTCCAAAACCTCTCCCCCTTCCTTCGTCCAAAAGTGAACCTTATCATTCACATTAAATTTGCAAACACGCTGGAAGTCATACCACCCTTTTGAAAAGAGGCCTTGGTATGGATACCACAGTATATGTCATTTAGCTTGAGTCCCATTTGGGAGAATTACATTCACCCAATGTGGACGATCTCTGAGATATTTGAATACCGCGTCAGCCGGTATTGCCTACAAAAATAAACGAAAACAAATATGTCAAACCTATACGAGATACATAAAATAATTCCGGACAAAATAAAAAAAAAGGAAAAAAATTAAGTTAAAGATCAACCAATATTACCAGTGGTTTCCCAGGGGACCTCCTTGCAGCCGTAATAATAGATGACCATAACAACTGCCTGTCATTCTGTTCCATTTGTTGGCCACCAGCCAACATTGTTGAGCGACGAGGGGGCAAATTTGGGGGTGTAATTGGAGTAAAACACACGCAAACAGTGAAAACAAAGTTGCTATCACCCAAATACTGGAAAAAAATCAACTTCGCTTTGTCTAGGGCGTAGCTTTGGACGATTGTTTTTATCCCCTCAGCAAATAAAGCAATTTCCTTGTTTCCCTTAAGGCAGATGTTAACCTTAATTTGATACGTATTGCCGAATTGGTCTTTGGCAGTGATGTGGCTAGACAATTCATTTCCCTATTTCTTGAAAAAGAAATTTGGAATTTTCAATGTTTCCTGAAAAAAAAAAGACATGAAAACCCTAATTTAGTGGAACTGTTTCGTTGTCTAGTAATGAATAAGACAAATAAAGAAGAATGAAAATTTTACAGAATCACTGCGAAGTGCGAGCTGGAAGTTTGCGTCTTCATACGCTTGTTTTAGTGGGACTCTGAGAGTACAAAATCAAAAAGTTATAGGTAAAGGGTTTACCAGTTATGCCAAATAAAGAAACCAAGTCAGAATCGTTCGTTGGCCATGTTCGAACATGGAACAGCAGCATGGTTGCAGCAGAGGATAAGAGAGTCAGATTACGATTTTAGGGTTGGGGTTGCGCAGATAGCAGAAGAGCAAAACAAAAGACACTGGGTTAGGGTTTTGAATAAGAAAGAACAACAGTTATGTAAAGTAAGAAAAGAAAAAGTAAAAAAAAAATTAGCCAAATAAACAAACGAAGCGAGAATCATAATACCTACGAACGTTCGTTGGCCATGTTCAAACATGGAACAACATCATGGTTGCAGCACAGGAGAAGAGAGACAGATTAGGATTTTAGGGTTGGGGTTGCGCATATAGCAGAAGAGAAAAGCAAAATAAACTGGGTTAGGGTTTTGAATATGTACGAAGAACAGTTATGTAAATTAGGAAAACAAAAAGAAAGAAAAAATTAGCCAAATAAAGAAATGAACTGAGAATCATACCTACGAACGTTCGTTGGGCATGTTCGAACATGGAACAACACCATCGTTGCAGCACAGGAGAAGAGAGTCAGATTACGATTTTTGGGTTGGGGTTGCGCAAATAGCAGAAGAGAATTCCAAAAGACACGGTTAGGGGAGAAGAGAGTGAGATTAGGTTTTTGGGTTGGGGTTGCGCATACAGCAGAAGAGAAATCCAAAAGACACGGTTAGGGTTATGAAAATGTACGAAGAACAGTTATGTAAATTAGAAAATTCAAAAAGTAAAAAAAATTAGGCATCTGAAGTTTTGAAGCCACGACATCAATTCACGGCATCTATTCACGGGGATGGGAAGAGACAGTGTGTTCAAAGTTGTCATTATTGCGCATTGGAAAAGAAACTCGGACCAACTCCCCCCATTATGACTGATCATGTCATTCGTGCAGATGTGATAATACTATTGATGTGTTCCAATACTTGCGTCCGGATTTGACGTCTGCAACGTTATCATTGTTGCTTGGGATTCTTGGGAGTCACTTTTGGTATAATTAAGATGAGTAATTGCATATGAAGTGAAGGATACATTGAAGACACGTTTTTTTTACTGTTTACATACGTTTAAGTTTAATTTTGTTAACTACACCAAGTTGAAGTTGAATAAATTTAAATTAATTAATCAAACGAACTTATAATACTGATGACCATTACAATTGCTAAGTCCTTCACTTGTGTTATTCACAAGGTAATTCGTTGTATGTCATTTCCAAGAAATTTAATTAATTAATAAATAACTATTCATAAGTACACCATATTAAATTATATAATTTTGAATATAAAATCAATATATTCATTATTAAATTACATTAATAAATTTAGAATGAAATTAAATTTATTTAAATATTATTTAACATTTTTTTTACATATAAGTGTAATATTGAATTATGAAATTTAATATAAATTTGTAAAAA